GCGTAGTGTCGGGTAAGTATTGATAGAGGTGTCGGAGCGAACATAGACATCGAGTTAGGTAGACTAATAGGCTGCGGTATGTATTGTGTGTCGATACATGTATGTATATATGTATGTGTTGGCATACATGTTATGTATATTATGTATATGTGTGCATACATGTATGTATGATGAATGTATGTGTGCATACCTGTAAGTAATATAATGTAATGTGGTACATACATGTATTGGGGTATGAATAGTATGTATAGTGTTGCATAAATGTATGGTATATTATGGGTATGGTGTCATACATGTATTGTAATATATGTATGGATGTGCATAGCATGTATGTATATATGTGAGTGTGGTATATTTATATGTAGAAATATATGGTATAATTTATATGTAGATATATATGTATATTTACTTTGTAGATAGTATTATATGTGTTGTGTGTGTGGTGGTGTGTGCTGGGAATAAATAAGTGAGTGGTGGGTGTGTGTGGTGTGTGTGTTTATATGTGTATGTATACATGTGTGTGTATATATGTGTGGTGTGTGTAATATGTGTATATATATGTGTGTGTGTATAGTATAGTTGTGTGTGTGGTATATGACTGGTAGTATATTGTTAATGTATAGGCTATATGTTAAATCTGTGTGTTATAGTATATTTATATGTATATTATATGTGTGTGTAAATGTGATAGTATGTATAATATGTGTGTTGGTGGTGTGTATATGTATATGTGATGTGTGTGGTATATGTATATTACTGTGGTGTGTGTATAGTAATGTGTATGTGTATATGCATATATGTGTGTGTGTATTTATGCATATATGTGTGTATATTAATGTGTGTATGTATATTGATGTGTATATGTATATATGTGGGTGGTGTATATATATTAATATATATATCTATATATCATATAATGTATGTTGTGTGTGTAATATATAGTGTTATGTGTGTGGTGTATTATATATGTAATGTGTGTGGTGTATATTATCGTATGTGTGTGTGTTATATATGTATGTGTGTGTGTATATATATGCTAGTGTGGTGTGTGTATGATAAGTATGTATGTGTGTGTGTATATAATGTATGTGTGTGGTGTTTATATATGTATGTGTGTGTGTATATATATATATGTGTGTGGTGGGTGATATATATTGCATGTGTGGGTGTGGTATATATTAATGTATGGTGGTTGTGGTATAATATTATTTATATGTATTAGTATGGTGTGAATGATGTCATATAATAGTAAATAAAAAAAAAAAAAAAAAAAAAAAAAAAAAAAAAAAAAAAAAAAAAAAAAAAAAAATATTATAAATATTGTGTATTTGGGTGGTGTGGGTATATATGTATATATAATACTATATAATGTAATGTGTGGGTAATATATTGTATATATAATAATATGTGTGTATACTTATATAATATATGTTTGTGTGTTATATGGTATTAATGTGTGTGTGTGTGTATATATGGTATATATATATTGTATGTGGTTGTGTATATATGTTAGCATATATATATTGTATGTGTGGTGTATTATGTATATATATATATGTAGTGTGTGAATGTGTATAGTTGTTATATGTATTACGTGATGAAGTGTTCAGTGGGTGTGTGTTATATATGTTATATGGATGATTGTATGGTTGTGTATAATATGTTATATATATTATGAATGGTGGGTTTTGTTATATCAGAGAATACCTATGTAGGAGTGTTGTATATATGGGTATATATATATGTTGTGTGGGTTTTGTTGAGTGAAATTCTTTATGTACTGTGAGATTAGTTATATATCACGTGTATGTGTTGATGGCTGTGGATCATACAGTGTAATCACATTATACTTATAAGTGTATGTGGTGTGTGTATAATATGTATAGTGACCTGATATGTGGGTGTGGTGTAATATGTAGTATTAATAGTGTAGTGGTGTTATAATATGTATATATATGTATAGTATGATATATTGTGTATTTGTGTTTGACGTGTAATCTGATGTATTAATATTAATAATGTTATTGTGTGTATTTATATCTGTATATAAGTTATAATATGTTAATGTGTGTGTTTAAATATAGTGGTGCATATAATATAACTGGTATTGGTGTGTATATATTTGTATAGTAATTAGTGTTATGTGTTTGTGTAATATATGTAGTGAGTAGTTATGCTAAGTGGGGGGGGGGGGGGGGGGGGGGGGGGGGGAGGGTGTGTGTGTGTATAATGTTATATTAGGTATGTATTTGTGTGTGTGTATTATTGTAATATAATTATTGTGTGATGTGTTGTAAGTATATTGTATATATATGTATGGTGTGTGTGTTGTAGGTATATGGTATATTTATGTATGTGTTTGTGTTGTTTATTATATTATAACGACGCAGCTAAGGATCTGCGTGTTAATGACTGCTGGTGTTATTAATACGATAGTAGTATAGTATGTTATGTGTTGTGTGTATATATGTATAGTGATATTGTATTTTTGTGTGTGTAGTAGTATCTCATATGTATAGTATATATTGTAATGCTTGTGGTGGTAGCGTATATGATATATAGTATGTGTGGTGGGTGTGTAGTATGATGCTGAGGTCTATAGAGTTAATTTATGTGGTATGTGGTTGTATATGGGGTGATGTTGTGTGTTTATGTGATTATACTATATGATAGGATATGTAGTGGTTGGGGTGTATATATAGGATGTTGGTGTGGTTATAGTATGTAATATATAAATGTAAAGGGGGGTGGTGGTGTGTGGTATATATGTAATAATATATAAGTGTGTGTGTATATCATGTATAGTATAGTGTGTGTGTGTATATATGTATTAGGTTATCAGCAATGTATAGGTGTGGTCGTGATATATTGTACTATATATTGGTATGTGTGTGTGGTATATAATGGTATACTATATATGTCATGTGTGTGGGTGGTATATATGTATGTATATGTATATATGGTCTGTGTGTGTGATATGATTGTGAGTAGTAGCTGGAAAGATAGTAAGGTGTCAATGTGTGGGTGTACTCTGATGTATATTGAGTAGATATAAAGTGAATGTAAGTGGTTGTGATTGAGTAGTGGGAAGTAGTAAATGTATAGGTCGCATGGTAGTAATATGATATTAATTGCATAGGATATGTAATCAGGTTGTGTGTAATATAATATGTTATGTAATGATAGTGGTGATATGAGTGATCGGTTCGGTGATAGGATGAGTATGAGAAGTCGCTGGTGTGTGGTAGTATATTGCGTATATAAGGTAGAGTTATGAGAGGAATTGATGGTAGCTTAGGTTGAGAGGAGAGTGTAAATATATGGCAGTATAATATGATTTAATGTGGTGTACACGAGAAGAAAATGAGTAGATGGGTGTGTGTTTGTGTTATTGACAAGTGTATATTATGATAGGTATGTGTTGGTGGTGTATATTTATGTATAGGTATCTTATAGTGATATGGTGGTGTGGTGTATTAGTAATTGTGAAGTAACGGTATAATAGTGTCTGGTGGTGTGTGTGTATATATTTATGTATATGTATGGTGTTGTTCTGATGTATATTGAGTATGTGATATGTAAATGGTGTCTTAAGTAATATGTATGGGTATTGTTTGGTTTATGTATGGTTGTAATATATATATTAGCTTGTATAAGTAAATGCTAATGTTGTCACTAAGTTAAATAGTAGTATGTAGGAATGTTGCGTTGGAATGTTGTGGATGATTAATATTTTCAATAAGTGATATTGTATGCTGGTGGTGGTATACTATATATATCTAGTAGTGGTGAGTGGTAGTATTATATAGTGTATAATAGTATATAGGTTATGTGTGTGGTATGTATGGCTACGTACTTATATTCATGTGTATAATGTATTATACATGATATATATTTGTGTGTTTATAAAAGAAATTTTATATTTATGTTATATTCCATTGTATTATATGATGTATGCATATACATTTTTTATATTGATTTAATGATGTAGTCTCTGTACTGAGTATGAATATTCTTTGATTAGTGGAACAAGATTGTGTCTTCAGTATTGTTGATAGGAATAGGAAGAGTTTGATATGCCAAGATAGGAGATTACCAATAGCAATGACTGTAGTTATTCAATATGATAATCTTGGTTGATATCTTCAAAATCTTGAGCTGTGACTGTTCACTTTGGCAGATATAAGCACTGTGGAAATGGTTATTCACACAAAGGAAATATAAAGTGATATATTTTCTGTTGGAACTGGAGGTTATCTTGATGGAGAAAATAAACAGACTGATTGGAATGTGTGTTTAAAAAAGTGTAAATTAGATGGATGAGAGAGCTTAGATGTTGCCAGAGGAGAGGAACATTTTCAGTAGAAATGATTATGGATAGGTATAGAGAAAATCCATATCAAGTAGTCAGCCAAAACCTACATAGGAGAGGAGGGGATGAAATAATGAGTGTATGAGAGGTGTGTATTTCAGTTATACTGTTTCAGGTGGGGGAAGGGGGGTAAAGTTGTGGCCATTCTGGTACTCTCATCATGCTGCTTCCTTATGGTCCTCCTTCCTCCGCCTGTCTGTCTGTCTCCTCAATCTCCCCCCTTCCTCCGCCATATGTCTGTCTCCTCAACACCCCACCCCACCCCCCACCCCACTAAGACACCTCACTCTTTCTTGCATTAACATTCCTAAGGTTATGCATATATTTTTCAATAGGAGACTCATTGGGCATGTTTGTGCTCTTGCATGTATGCACCATGCATTTTGTGTATATGATCCCAATTCTAGACTTAACTTTAAAAGTTATCGTTTTAAGATACAAAATATTCATTGTTTTCTTTCAAAGGCTTAAAATATGTTTGTAAGAAAAGTAATATTACAGATTAAATTATATGAAAAGGGTGAGGTGTTAAAAAATGTTACATTGTTGTTAATCAACAACACAATTAGTTTCCAGATGGTATAGACATTCATTAATCTTTGTATTTTTTATTGTCTTCCCCTGCTAG